TATATAGTATGCAATTATCACATTGTCTCGATTGTACAATAAATAATACCTCGGAGATCCTTCAAATCCTGATCTGCACCATAAAATATGAGTTTCGCCATAGTCGATGGGTCTACCAGTGTGCCAGATTGGCCCAAATCTAAAACAGATTGGCCCAAATTGTTTGCGATTGCTGCGATGTGGAGAGGCCTGGAGCCCTTGTCATCTAATTGGTTGACGGCTGTCTTTTGGTTTGTAGCGTAGGACAATAGCAAATCCAAGACCCTGCTCGAGGTTGTAGGTGGGAAATATGATGGGAATGCATACATCAGTCACCAATAATAAATATACAAGAAGTGGGTTTTTCACCACTAATAAATATGCAAGCATTGTACCTCGGACGATTGCAGTGAATCAAAATTATAACGGTGAATGTTTGCCCACTGAGAGTGCACCTCTCACGCCAGTCTGTACGATACTTTGTACTTTGGGCTATCGAAACATACACACAGACAGGAGAACTCCGTTATCTCAAGACACCACTCCGGGGGTAGATGTGATGGAGTGAACCATGATGAGGGTGTTGGTGGGACCGAAGTTTGATCCCAGGCCAAGCCCTTGCGCCAAAACATGGCCTCCTGTCACACACACGTACATAATTCTTAGCCGAAAGGACAGCGCATATACAGCTGCAACTATGTAGATAGGGCAACTATATAGATAGGGCAACTATATAGATAGGGCAACTATATAGATAGGGCAACTATATAGGTAGGGCAAATATATAGATAGGGCAACTGTATAGATAGGGCAACTATATAGATAGGCCAACTATATAGATAGGCCAACTATATAGATAGGCCAACTATATGGATAGGCCAACTATATGGATAGGGCAAATATATAGATAGGACAACTGTATAGATAGGGCAACTATATAGATAACGCAAGTATATAGATAGGGCAATTATATAGATAGGGCAACTGTATAGATAGGGCAACTATATAGATAGGGTAACTATATAGATAGGGCAACTATATAGATAGGGCAACTGTATAGATAGGGCAACTATATAGATAGGGCAACTATATAGATTCTGCCCTATCCCAGTAAGGACAGCGGGACGCCCGCGCATGCACCCACACACGTGTACACGCAAAGCTTATAACCGCTGCATATACATATACACTCATATACATACGCCTGCACACACATCCACTCACATACATGTGCCTATACACATATACACTCACATACATGCGCCTATACACATATACACTCACATACATACGCCTATACACATTACACTCACATACATACGCCTATACACATATACACACACATACATACGCCTATACACATATACACTCACATACATACGCTTATACACATATACACTCACATACATACGCCTATACACATTACACTCACATACATACGCCTATACACATATGCACACACATACATACGCCTATACACATATACACTCACATACATACGCCTATACACATATACACTCACATACATACGCCTATACACATATACACTCGCATACATACGCCTATACACATATACACTCAACAGCTTACCCTGAATTACCCCGTGCCACACACTTGTGAATGCAGTTACTTCCTTCCACGGTTGCACTTTCCCGCATCAGCTGAGCTAAGTCGCCTGTGAACTGTGTGGTGGGTCTATGGGTGTCTCTGTGTCGCATACTCTTCTGTATGAGCATGCAAAGTTCTTCGTCCTTTCCCGTTGGCGCTGGTGGTAGCTCTGGCGGAGCGAGCACTGTGTGTGTGTCGAGTCGTGCCCCGTGTGTGTGCGGAGACATGTGTGAATAAGTGTATGTTTGTATACATGTGTGTATGTGTGTATGTTTGTATACATGTATGTATGTGTGTATATTTGTATACAAGTGTGTATGTATGTGTGTTCGTATGCATGCATGTATGTGTGTGTGTTTGTATACATGTGTGTATGTGTGTGTTTTCGTTTGCATGCATGAATGTGTGTGTGTGTTCGTATTCCTATGTGTACCTGTGCGTTTTCGCGCAGGTATGTATGCGTGGGTATAAGTGCGTACAAGTGACAGTCGCGAGGACTATGCGTGTCAATTAATTGTACGCACGTGTGTTCGAATGCGAGTGCAGCATTTAAAACTTAACGCTAGTCTTGCCTGTACTGTATAGGCGTGTGGGCGCGACCGTCAACACGCACGTGAGCTTAAAAGTAAGGGGCACGTAACTGAGTACTTGGATGGGCTAGTCCAGTTGCCTGGGCCGATGTCGGTGTGGTGTGGAGGTGTGCCCAAATGATAAGGCGTGTGCGAGTGCAATTAGCTATATATAGGTAGGAAATACATGCTAAACACAATCGGTTTCAAGCACGCAAGTATGGACAACATTTCAGTGCAAAGCCCCAACAAGTTGGAACTAATACAATACACTGAAGGATGGGACCACACGAGCTGAGGTGAGCAGCCGCTGGTCCTGGTCTTTCGAGAACTTCCTAATGTCATACAGTGTCGCATATCGCGTGCGTATAGGTGTGGTTGCATTATGGCATTGTGGTGGTTCAGAGCAGAAGCAGCCAGTGTGTGTCTGCGTATTCGCCTGCCCGGGGCGAGTGAATATATATATACCTGTTGTGTGCATGCCGATGGAACGTAGGCAAGGTACGTAGACAAGGGAAAATACTTCACAGACTATTCACATCGAGAAGGGTCCGAAATGCCTGCGCGTGTGGGTATAGAACGGCGAGCATTGGCTGATGCGTGTACCTCCATGTAAAGGACAGGATGTGACAGGCACGCGTCGCTAACACCTAGACACTGCAATGGAACACGAATGCACCAACTGGCAATACGCGACAAACACCCCCAACTCTGAATGGTGACACCTCACAAGTCGCACCTGGCCCTCCGAGAAGAGGACCGATTGTCCTAGCCACTGCTCTGCCCTCTACGACCAAGGACAGGTGCCCAATAAATCGGACGAGTATACATACGACGGGGGATACTATTCACGTAACACACGGAAGGAAGTGTTCGGAGGACTGTGACTATGAAACGAACACACCTACGCACAAAGAGATTCGCTTCAGCTATGAACTCGCGCGATACCTTTGATTGCCTTAGCTTCGTCGTGTGTCATATGTGGTTTTGTTTGATCCACAAACGCGGGGACGGTGAAGATGATTTGACAGCACCGTGTGTCCAGTAGCTCTGGAAGCTGCTTGAAGCCTGCGCGCAAGAACTGTGTATGCGTATCGCGAATGCGTTTCCCGTTTATGCGATCAGCGTGTGGTGTCATACCGCACGGTCGAAAACGTATTTGCATACATAGTCTTGCAAACATAGCGGGCGGTAGGTACAGAAAAAAAATTAAAACGGTCCTAGATCTATCATAGATATATGCAAAAACAATTGTTCGGAATAGCCTTAGTTGTAGTTTCATCATAGATATATGCAGAAAAATGTTCGGAATGTTCTTAGTTGTAGTTTCATCATGGATATATGCAGTACTTGCCTAGTAGTACGTGTGCGTGCTTGTGACATACACAATACGCAATGTGTGTATGTCGGCGCGAGAGCCGCGCGTGCGCCATTCGCACATGCACTGATGCACTTGATGCACTTGATGCAATGGCCCATTACCTCATATGTACTTTGTTACATGCATAACCCCACACTTACCAGTAGAGACCAATAACAGGTCATATGTATGTGTCACGTATATGAACAGACGTGTATACAAGCAGCAGTACGTACAGGTACACGACTAAGCGCTCAAAGTACACCTTTGCATTATCCAAGTGACTAGGCTCCGAAAACGCATAAGTACAACTTAAGTCCTCCTATAGTAGACCGTCACCATATTCAAGTAACAATGCTCCATAAGCGCACATATATATAGCTCACTCCTACTATAGTATAAGAGACTATATCCAAGTGAAAAGCGTCGTACGCGCATATATACACAACAAAGTCGTTGTTGAGTATTCCTGTATCATATCCAAGTAAAAAAAGTTCCCTAAACATAACTTATACATATTTCACAAGTCCGTCTGTTGTATACCAAGACCCTATCCAGCTAAAAAGATAAACGTAGACGCATATATAACACACAACTGTCCCATTATATCATTCCTGCACCATGTCCAAGTGACAAAGGCTCTTCAGACCCGCCATCCGCTCTTCCTCTGACTGTCCTTTCCTCTCGACAATTCTCCGTTTGGTCTCTCCCCACTTCTCCCCTTACGTCATGTACCCTCTAAAGTCAGTGGTGTAGCAGCACAACGTGCATCCTTTGATGTCGCTCTGCCAGAAGCCTACACACACACGACGGTTAGTGCATTGCGAGCATGCACACATTGCATTGGTACGCTGAAGTGTGCATGCATGGCCACTACAGTCTGCAAAACAATCCCATAGTCTCAACCCCATGGCATAGTGAGGTACAAGATGAAACACGTTTCCGAACAAACGGACTATATAAGTGCACGACCTTGGGTATGCCTGTGCTCTATTAAGAGTAGTAGCGCTCACAACAGACACCTCCAACGGTCCTCGAATTGTTCTGCCCCATCAGGTATAGCTCATGCTTGTGTGCTTGTCATATCACATATCTATCCGTTACACAGCGTCCGTGTTTGACTACACTCCTACAATCTCCGCGTACACTCTTCGAATATACACACAGGTTAGTAACGCTGACCAAAATCAAGGTACATCGATACCAAAGTCCACTCAGTACAGAAGATCACAGAATACACACTTCCCGGCATATTATACAAACCATGCCCCCAAATCACACCTGCACGATCTAGCACTCCTCACACACGCACCTCAGAGCGGTCGCACCCACAAACGTGTCGTTCAAACGGTCCGCGAACTTCTCTGCACTGTCCGGTGTTCTATACTGCTCGTCGATGCTCAGGGTTTCCAAGTAAAGAAACCCTCCCTTTCCCGTGTTGGCAGCTGCTTGGCGTACAGTGTCTAGGCGGATGGTGCCGTCGTGATCACAGAATGTCACACCCATACGCTGCATTTCATCTGAGACCTCATCACATATCCCGTGGAAGTCCTTAGTTCTTCGTCCGATGAGCGTATATATATATATAAATATATATATATATATATATATATATACTTTGCCGTACCCGCATGCTGTCCATTTACCAGTATCTCGGCCTGTGGGTGTAGGTATATTTATTGATTGTGAGTACACAGACAACGCTGAACCAAAAGTATTTAGTACCTTGTATGGACAGCCAATACATACAAATATGTGCTAAAATATTCACTATCGAAACACATATTCATACCGATATGCATATATAAGTAGCACTACATTAAAACACATACAATCGATAACTGAATACAAATATCATATATATATATATATATATATATGTGTGTGTGTGTGTGTGTGTGTGTGTGTGTGTGTTGTGTTGTTGTGTGTGTGTTGTGTAGTTGTTTAGTGTTGTAGTNTATATAT